TATTCTTTAGTGATTTACAAAGACCCAAGGGCTCCTAGATTTTTATCACATCATATTTCACCTCTACTGTCTTTCCTAGTGTTTTTTTTTTTTTAAATCTTGTTTTGATGTGACCTCAGTCCTCTTGTATCCCTTTTGAATATGAAATTTAAGTTAATATCTGTATCTCTTAAGGGATACTGTGGAAAAATAGCCATTTGGAGACCCATGTAGGTGTTTACACCCAAGCACAATTGCTTTATTCTTTGTTTACCCATGGTGAATGCTGAGCTCTTAAATCTACCACTTAAAATGTCTAAAGTTATAGCAGAATTCATTTATAGGCCGTCTTTTTCTCAGGCCGACTCCCATTTGCACTGCTTTCAGGTCTCTCAACCTCATTTGTTCACTTGTTAGGTCTGACTCCCAGAATGGGTGAGTGCTGAAGATGGTCAAAGGGGAGGGCATGTGGCCTGGGTCAGAGAGAGGAGGCAGAGGCCAGGCCCTGTGACCTTTAGCCTGGGCCCTGAGCTCAGGAACCCTCTGTGACTGTGTGCAGTCCTAGCCAGTGGAGCTAGGGTTCTTCTGCTCTTTGGAATGTGCATATAAGGTCAGAGCATCACTTCAGTAATTACTGTTGATGGAATAATAAAACATCTTTCTGTTGATTTTTGTTTCCAGCTTCCTTGTGGTCAATGAAAAAATCATTAAAGATACTAGCAGACTTTTTTGTTCTTTGTTTTTTATTTTGGTGGTGCTGGACTTACTGACATTACTTACTTACTTGGACTTATTAGCCAAGCAAATGCTCTTCCAATGATCTAAATCCCCAACTCCTACCAGCAGACTTTAAACTGATGGTTTATACACTTAACATTTGTATGCTGAAATGAAAGGTTTACACTAATCTGAGGTATTATTTGTATCTCACATCTTACTAAGCTAAAGGAATTTGTGGTTTTTTTTCAAGTTTCAATAAACCTGGAACTGATCAAATTCCTCAAGGGGTGTGTGTGTGTGCGTGTGTGTGTGTGTGTGTGTGTGTGTGTGTGTGTGTGTGTGTGTTACATGTGTTGGTCCTAGAGTTTGAACTCATGGTCTGGATGCTATCTGTGAGCTTTTTTTTTTTGGTCAGTTGTGGGGCCTGGGCCTGGGCCTGGGCCTGGGCCTAGGCACTGTCACTCAGCTCTTCAGCTGTAGACTAGTGCTCTACCTCTTGAGCCCCACTTCCAGCTTTTTAGTAGTTAACTGGGAATAAAGACTCTCATGGATTTTCCTGACTAGTCTGCCTTAGAACTGTGATCCTCAGATCTCAGCTTCTTCAGTAGCTAGGATTTACAGGTGTGTGCCACCAGCACCCAGCTTAAGATTTTCTAAATAATGATGTTTTGTTCTAAATAACATTCTAGTTCTAGTTCTAAAAACTGTGCATGGGACATTTTCTATCTGTTTGCACAAGAGTTCATTCGGTCTCTGGATGAGCTTCTTAGTTTCTGCAAAGCAGAAAAAGCCTCTTCGTATAGTATGTGTTTACTTTTGTCTTAATTTTTCATCTGTGTGTATATATGCATGTGGCATAGATCTGTATCTGTACGACTAGTGTATTTAAAGGGACTTTTGGATACCTCAAGATTTTTTTTAATGTTAATAGTTTAATTTTTCAGTAGTCTAGGAATATATTGGTTTGTTTGAAAAATTACCTAGATCTACTCTCCTTTTCATATAGCCTGTGTTGGTGACCTAAACAATAGATCCTTCCCATATACATACATACATACATACATACATACATACATACATCTATGTGCATATGCATATATACACATATGCCCCTTATTGTGTGGGCATCCCCTTTGAGTTTTGTATATGGTATGGGTGTGGCTTAAGAGGAAACTAGCCATGGAACTTTAGGGAGGGGAATGTGTTTAATTATTTAGAGAAGGATGAGAGGATATGGGGACTTGACATTCTCAAACAGGGTGAGAAAACTGCACAACTGTAAGGTCTTTAGGAAGAGAGTAACTTTCTTGCGCTGCCTTGTAAGAGGATTTCACTCTGCCAGCTTTTCAGCCCTGAGGACATGGGTGAGAATGGTGTATGTCAGGAAGAAGAGGAGCCTTGGCATGCTGAGGTGTACTTGGGTTTTGAACACCTGAGCTGCCTATCTGGAATTGTCCCTTGAAATGGTTTTGGTGACAATGACAAGAGGAAAGCCTCTGGGCCCCAAGTGAATTTCAGGACAGGAAGAAAACATTTTCTAGCGGTAAATCACTTACCTGTCACATTCTTCAAAGCACTTTATACAGATGCATGTAACTGTTTTAAAGGTTGTGCCTGCAGTCAAGAGACTTTTTTGCCCAGGATACACATCCATGATTTAAAAAGCATCATTTATTGACTTGGCAGCACTTTCGTTCACACTGTTCTGTTCTGACCTTGTATCTGTTGAGGAAGGGCTACTCCTTCAGTCAGTATTAGCTAGTATACTTGCATTTTTGTGTTGCAGGAATATACAATATTTTTAAAATGTATTTTTTTAAAAATATGATTGTAACAGAAAGAGCAACTTAAGCCATCAGTAAAAATTTAAAAAGTATTGAAAGAGTAATAATGATCAGGAATAATTTTGGTGAGCAATTACTGTGCCATTTATTGCCTTAAGGCACTTTTGTATGTGACATGAGATTTATTTGATTGCTTGATGTTCTCACAGAACTGGGCTTTGAACATAGGGCCTCACCCACGTTAGGTAAACAGCTTCCTACCACTTGAGCGATTTGCCCCAGCCTCCATTCTGATGAGGTCCTGAGAATATGCCCAGGCCAGTCTGGATGGTGATCTGCCTGTGTCCACCTCTCAAGTAGCTAGGATTACAGGTGTGCACCACTGTGCTTGGCAGTGAGTTTAATCTTTAAACTTGACCTTATGAAGTAGGAATTGTTATTCTCATACCTTTTGTGAAGTGAAACTCAGAGAGGAAAAGTGAATGAATTGTTCAAGGTCACTCAGAAAGTATGACTTGAGAACTGAGTGTAAAAGCAGTCAGAGACTATACTCTGAATATCCCACTCCATGGATTGACCTTGGATTTCACAGACCGTGCTCAGGCAGATGCTGAACTAGTTGTGTAGGATTTCTTTGTGAATCAATTCACATAAGAACATAAAGTACATATCTAGCTGTTGTGATGGCTAATGCGAAAGTATGAAGCAGAAGAGAAAGGTGAATATAGACACAGTCTCTTTAGAGATCAGTGAATGTGTTAACTTAACCAATACTTTAAAATAGGGTCACCTAGTACCCCATTTGTTCTGAAACTTTGCTTGTGGTATGCCCATACTGGGCAACTGAATTATGGCCCGGCACCCATCACCCATGCTCAGCCATTGTGTGTCTTTGCTTTGCCAGTATGTCTCCCTTTTGTGTCCTGTGTGCCATTCACCTTCCCTTAGTGGCACTGTGATGTGGGGTGATCTGTCTCTTTTGCCAAATAAAGCTCTGCATTTCTCTTAGGTTTTCATCCAGCTGAGCAACTGCCTTGCCTGGCGGCATAACACAATTAGGAGAAAACAAATGAAAACCACAAGGTGGTTGGTGCCCCAGGGGGTTGAATCTCAGCTCAAAACCCAGAGCTTTTCACTGACCTTTAAGGAGGGCTGTGGTGAATGAGAGCTAGCTACCAAATAGAAAGCGCTGAGATTCTTTCACACATCTTTCGGCTGGATGTCCTGGGTGTCAGGTTGATTTGATATCATGACCAGTAGTGTCCTTGTGATTGATTAGCTGCTCAAACTATGGCTGGGGTCCCTGAGTGAAATTCTGTACCATTCATTACTTGGCCTTATCCATGTGACTAATTTGCTGAATTCAGTATTTTGAAACTTACCCCTTGTTATTTTAAAGCTTTATTGTAAAACAATTCAAATGAATTTGGCATGAGTATTCCTAACAGTGACTTATTTCAACATATGATTTGTATTTTCCCTTGCCTTCAGAGGGATTGACCAAACAAGCTGATTTGGAGTATTTTCAAGGCTTCCTGTCTTTCATATTAATGGCAGGTTATAACAGCTTACTAAAAATAGAACTATGACTGTACATCATAAACCCAAATATTATAAGGAACTTTTTGAACTAGAAACTCACTTTGATTAATCTGTTTAAACATTGATCAGTAATACTTTTTTGTTGTGGGGCTTGAGCTCATGGACTGGGTGCTGTTCCTGAGCTTTTGCCTCAAGGTTAGCACTCTACCATTTTGAGCCACAGCATCACTTCTGGTTTTCTGGTGGTTAATTGGAGATGAGAGTCTGGTAGACTTTCCTGCCCAGGCTGGCTTCAAACCATGATCCTCATATCTCAGTCTCCTGAGTAGCTAGGATTACAGGCACGAGTCACTAGCATCCAGCCAGTAATGCATTTTCAAATGCAAAAAAAGTAAAAAAGAGAAACTTTTTGCTGTAGTAGATTCCTTCCTTCCTTCCTTCCTTCCTTCCTTCCTTCCTTCCTTCCTTCCTTCCTTCCTTCCTTCCTTCCTTCCTTCCTTCCTTCCTTCCTTCCTTCCTTCCTTCCTTCCTTCCTTCCTTCCTTCCTTCCTTCCTTCCCCCCGCCCCCCCTTTTCCTTTTGGCTGTAGGGTCTCATAGTCCTAGAGCTTACAATCCTCCTGCTTCCACCTCCCCAGTACTGGGATTGCAGGTGTGCACTACCATGCCTGAAAGTTACACTGCTCTTTACTAATCAGTCTTGGCTCATGGAACTTGAGGCTTGGGGAGTCATGAAATATTCACAAAGCACTGATAGTTGTTTTATTCATTTATTTGCAAGTTTACCTTGAGTTGTGTAACTGGAAAGTTCCTTTTCATTCTCAGTCTCAGATAAGATAGGAGATGCTAGTTCTTAAAGAACCATTAGACAAATGACTGTCTTGGATTTTGATACTGTATCAAAAGCATCAATGATCATTTTACTAGAATGCTGTATAATTCTTCACCTCTTAATTCTTTGCTGTTTCTCCTCTTAGGACCTGCTGAAGTTCCCATGATGTCACCTAATGGATCCATCCCTCCCATCCACGTGCCACCAGGTTATATCTCACAGGTACTTCTGCACTCCGCCATGCCTTAGTTTACTTACCAGAAAGCTGCTGGGTAGGATTGAATGCCTTTCTTTTTGTGGCAGCAAGCAGCACTGCAGATCTTGCCACTTGGGGTGCCAGAGAGCCAGAGAGAAATGGAAACAGGCTCTTGGGCTGCCCTCTGTCAAAGTAGGTGACCACATCTGATGTCTGCTTCATGATTCACCAATTCTCCTGATTTAGAAATTACCTTCCATCCGTCTTATAATTTCCTGGGACTTAATTAGCAACGACATTGCCTCACACTTGCAAACCTACTTACTCAGGAGGATGAATTCTGAGAATCCAGCCTGGGCAGGAAAGTCTAAGAGATTCTTAATTAATCAACAGTTAACCACTGAAAGAAGGCAGAAGTGGAGATGTGGATCAAGTGGTAAAGCACCAGCCTTGAGCAAAAACACTAAGGGACAACAGTCAGGCCAGTATACAAAAAAATGGGTGTAGGGCTGCCCTCTGGTGTAAGAGTTGCATTTCCAAATCACTAAAGTGACATAGGTAGGCCTATAGAATTACTGAGTGTGATGTGAGAATTTGGAATTTGGTGTTTGCCCTTAAGTTTATTTGAATTTTGGTCTGTTCTTCAGTAAAATATTACCAGTAGCAATCTCAGAGATGTATTGGAAGAGAAAAACATTCAAGAGGATGAAGTTATTGTTCTGAGCCTAGGTCCTGTATAAAGTGCTCAGGGTACTTGTGATGCAGTGGTTGGTGAATATGTAAAATACTCTCCTGTCATCACTAAATTCCTATCTTTGTTTTTCCTTCCTAGTACATAATACTTCACCAGCCAACCATCATTCTTTTCTCTCCTTTCCCTCCTCCTCCACTTACCTTGCTCTCCTCCTCCCACTCTCTCATTCTTGTTCTTTGTTCCCTGACTTATATAAGAGTATGATATATACATTTAAAAAAAAAAAAACAGGACAAAAGCCTGAAGAATATGAGATGACAGTCACAATGTTAATGTTTTGGAGGTTATAGCCTTTCAGAGTTTTCCCTTCATGCCTTATCGATTTGCCTGCCGCTGCTTTTAAAAGAGTATTAAAAATCTGTAATTTTTACTTTTTAATGATTTTTTGCTAGGGTGGAAACAACTGGCGACGGCATAGGCAATTTACTGAAGCTTAGGCAGGAATGAAAGATTTCTCCTTCTGTGATGTAAAAACATCCATTTCTTTATGGCATAAGGCATACTGCAGCCACTATGATTTCTTTTTCCATCCTTTTATGTGAGTCATGTTGGCCTTCTTTCTCTCTTTCTCTCTCTCTCTCTCTCTCTCTCTCTTTCTCTTTCTCCCTCCCTCCCTCCCTCCCTCCCTCCCTCCCTCCCTCCCTCCCTCCCTCCCTCCCCTCTCTCCCTCTCTCCCTCTCTCTCCCTCTCTCTCTTTCTTTCTTTCTTTCTTTCTTTCTTTCTTTCTTTCTTTCTTTCTTTCTTTCTTTCTTTCTTTCTTTCTTTCTTTTCTTTCTTTCTTTCTTTCTTTCTTTCTCTTTTCAGGAAGAGAAGTTTATTTACTGAACTGCTGCCCTGCAATGCATGGTAGAGGTGCACAAGCCAAAGGGGCAACCCACCCCTGGCCCAGGACTTACCTAGGCCAGGGGCAGGGACAAGGTGTGGTCACACTAGATGCGACCTCAGGGCCTAGGACCCTCCCATGGTTCAGTGGGAGGTGTGAATGGGGCGGCCCTGGGTGCGATCTGGGAGAAGAGAATGACTGCCTACAGGTGTGCCAGTTACCTAGGTGACATAGGTACTGGGCCACTATGGTGGCAAAAAATCACACCTCCTTTCATAGCCCCCATTCTCTGATGGAAAGCCATTATACTTCCAGTATTCTAGCTAGTGACTCATGCCTGTAATCCCAGCATCTCAGGAGACTAAGAGCTGAGGATTAAGATCAAAGCCAGCCTGGGCAGGAAAGTGTATAAAATCCCTACCACCAGTTAACCAGTAAAAGGCCAGAAGTGAAGGCATACCTCAAGCAGTAGAGACCCAGGGTGGAAATACAAAAAGAGAGTATGAGGCAGAGTTTAAGACTTAGTACTGGCATTAAAAAAAAAAAAAAGACAAATAAAAACATCTAGCATTCCATTTCCATCAGCCTTTTGCTCCTTTTGGTGTGGCTGTGATTATATTAAATGCAAAACATTTATTGGAAGTGAGTCCTAGGTAAAATGGAGAATATTTGGCCTGGGTTTATTTTGGATTCTGAAAAAAACTTTTATTGAAAAATCCAAAAGGAAAGGGCAAAAACAAAGATGTAAACTCAATTCTGCAAACCTGAATTGGAAGCAAAGTGACACTTCTTCCCAATGATGATTGATCGTGAGAAAATTCTACAAAACTCTAGAAGAGTAGTAAGAATGGAATAGATTTCATTTGGAACTGAAAAGTGAGGAAGAAGCAGTCTGAAAGGCCCGTGCATGGTTCTGTTTCATAGCCCCTACCCCATTCTCCTTGTGGTGCTGAGAATGGAACTCTGGACCTTGTATGGGCAAGGCAGGTGCTCCACCACTGAGCTACACACTAGACTGTTTTGATTGGGATCCTTGAATATAAGACGTATTGAGAGTTTACCCTTCCGTATTATTTTTGGTGGTACTAGGGTTTGAACTCAGGGCTTTATTCTCACTTGGCTTGCTTTCTGACAGCGGATGCTCTACTACTTAAGCCATACCTCCAGCACCAATTTCTGCTGGTTAATTGGAGATGGACTGTAATGCACATTTCTCCCAGGCTGGCCTCCTGCCATAATCTTCCAGTTCTTTACCTCCTGAGTTTCTGGGATTACAGGCATGAGCTCGGCTTTCACGTTCCACCCTGGCTGCTTCCTCTTGTCTAGTTTCTTCTGTCACATCCATGAGTAACCCACTGGGTACAGTAGGAGGAAGAAGAATGAAGAAAACCATGGCCCAGGCATTCACTGTGTTTCAGCAAACCCTGTGGCTGCCTGGCAGGGCTTGTCTTTCTGAGTCTCTGTCGGTGTGTGTGTGTGTGTGTGTGTGTGTGTGTGTAAGGGGAGGTCGGCCGAGTTTTCCTCTCCTTGTACGTTGGCCATGGCTCTTGTGGTTTCCTCCCATCATTAATTTTCTGAATAATTTCCACGTAAAAATTTCTTAAGCAGATGTCCTGCGTTTTATTTTCCATGGCTCCATATGAATTTCTGGTATGATTTTCAAATGTTACCCAAAGATGGAAAAGATCTGTGAAAAGAAGAAAAGTAAACCATTCAAGTCACTGTCCTATCATTTAGGAAAACCACTTTGCTTGTTTGTGTGCGCGCACGCACACACGCGCGCACACACACACACACACACACACACACACACACACACACACACACACTCATTCTAATCCATTCCATTATTATTTTTTGTGGATTTGTTAATGAACCAGTTAAAGAGAAATTGTTACTTCTGGTGAGGGGAAGACATTTTGAAAAGCACATTTAAATTTCACTTTGTTTATTCTGCAGAGCTGGCTGGAATTAGCCCATTGGAGATATAATCTGGCCTGTTGGTTGCCCATCCCTTTTTGGCTCAGCCTGGTCAGATGACTTACAATTAGCCTCCTCTTATAATTACCACTTCATCTTATATTATACACTGTTAAGATCAGGCAGAAAGAATGCAGGTATTGTACTGTACCCTGACAAATTGAGAGGGAGATCCCCTAAGCCATCAGTAATAAGAAAATCAGGTTTCTTCAATGTTCTTTGGAAGAAATAAATTTTTTAATAGGAAGTTAGGAAGATGAATTTTTGGAAATTTCTGAATTTTAGGAATTATTTAGTTTCCATGATCAGTTTTTTAAAATACTTTGAATTACTTTGAGGAGCCATCACAGGCAGATGTGAGAGTGCTTAATTAAAGGAAGATATCTCTAGCTGGGTACCAGTGGGTAATGCCTATAATCACAGCTACTCAGGAGGCTGAGATTTGAGGATCCCAGTTGGAAGTAGCATGAGGCAGGAAAGTCTATGACACTCTTCTTTCCAATTAATCACCAAAAAAAAAAAAAAAGAATCACTATCTGGCAACTAATAACAAGTAATTTTATAGTTGTGATCAGCATATATCTTGTTACCTAATAAACCTTATAGTGTATTATCAAAGTATCTGGGCTTTAAAACGAACAAAATCTGAAGTACTGCTAAAACTATTGTAACTTGTTGATTACATTTACAACTAAAAGAAGTACTAAAAAATAAAAAGATTTCTGATTCAGGGTTCCCTGCATTCAGTCCACCTTACAAGCTTGCAGGCTAGCAGTCCCTGGACCTGTATAAGGCCTTGGGCTCTAATGTAATGGCCCCTACCTTGCAGGCTAGAGTCCCTGGGCCTGTTTAAGGCCTTGGGCTCTAATGTAATAGCCCCCACTGTGGAGTAGCACAAAGCTTAGCACCATGGGTCTGTCCATCTCTGGGAAAGATTCACCCTATTTCTTCCTGGTGCCTCATGACAGATGACTTAATCCAAGTGGGATGCAGTACACAAACAGAAAAGGCCTGGGTCTCTAGGGTCCCCACCCACGGGTGGTACTGTGTTAATCCTCATCAGATCTCTTGGCGTCAGTCTTTCCCTTTGTTTTTTTAGCATTGTTCTTCATTGTTCTCCAGCTTTGTTCTTCTCTGAGTCAATTATCAGAGCTGTCTCAGAGTTATGGACATTATGAAAACTAACTTGTTCCATAAAGCTGTGTAGCTAGGTGTCAAGGAATGTACTAGTGGCCTGTTAGGTTGACTGTGGAGGGCTTTGATCTGTGTATTATCACCCCTAGAATGCTTTTCCTTGTTTCCAAGGAAATGATCCTCAGAGCAGCATGGAGTTGGCTATGTCTCTCCATTGATCAGCACTCAAGAGATGGCCAATCATTTCTCTCAGTCCAGCTTCTCAAGCACAGTTATTTCCTTAAACTTAGTCCCCAAGTTCAAGCCCCAGTACCCGAACCCAAAAAAAGAAAAGGGGGGTGGGTCCTAAACTTGGAGGGTTTATAGTCTCCGAGTATGGATGATGGCAACACATTTGAATGTTCAAATGTTATTAAGGCTAGATGTAGAGAAAAAAAATGAAGTTCACAAGTACTGTTCTATGATTTCAACCATTCAGTTGGAAATCCAGAAATGTCACAAGATTAGGATAATGCCTTCAATTTCTGTCAGCATTTTCAACTTGAACTTTACCAGTAAAATGAAACACATGGCCATGTGTTCCTGTCAGTCTTCGCTGGTCCTTGAGAATTATTTTATACTAATCCTTCCACATACTCACCCCATCCCCCTTTTAATGTCAGTATTGGGACTTGAACTCAGGGGCCTGGGCACTGTCCCTTAGCTTTTTCAATCAGGGCTTGTGCTCTACCACTTGAGCCATACCTTTATGTCTGGTGTTATAGTGGACATAAGAGTCTCATAGAATTTTCTTCTCAGCTTGGCTTTGAACCTGATTCCTCATATCTCAGCCTTCTGAGTAGCTAGGATTACAGGTGTGAACCACCACTGCCCAGCCTTCCCTTTCTTCCCCATGAAGGTCAGAGGAGTTGGATCTATTGTCTGCAGTCTGGGCTAAGAGAGTACAGTGCTTGTGTGGCAGATCTGTCCCCTATATGAAGAACAGCCCAGCTTTCCATATGAGCCATGGTAAGGGCCAGAACTAGCTCAGCAGTGGAAAGTGGGATGTGATCTGTGAGTGGTAAACCTTGTGAACGCTCCTCTGGTAGAAAAGTGTGCTTGACACTGGACATGCATCTTTCTGTATAAATACTAGTAATAAAATCACACTGAGTTCATTTAAGAGGATCAGGTATGATGGTGTGTAGTTTCCTGAGTTCTTACTAGCTAAATTTCCAGGCACTGAGCTGTGTCCTCATTCTCAGCATTGTGTGAAATTTTAGAGAAGACCAGTCCAAGCTCACCAGAGTTATGTGGGGAATTTTTGATAAAAAAATGTGCTGCTATTCTTGACACATTTTTAATCTGTCACAGAAAAGCTATATTTTTTAATGGGTGATAGAAGACTAGTTATTCACTTAATTTACTAGGACTTTGGGGGGGGGGGCAGGAGAGTCTTTTGTGTGTCCAAGTGCTTTTAAATTGTAGCTGGCCAGGATGCATGGCTCTCCTGCAAGCTATGGTGAGAGAGGCTTCTCAGTTTTGGACAGAAGGTAAGGGCTAGCGTGGATTCTCCCGTGGTCCCTGTTCTTGCTGTGGAGATGGTTGGCTTCCTCTGGGCCCTTCCCCTGGTCTTTGTCTGTCCCTCTGGAGTCTGGTCTCTTCTTAGGACAGTTATCATACTAGGTTAGAGACCCCCCTCTGTGTGACATTGCTTTATATCAGATTATCTGTAAGAACCCCTGACTCCAAAGAAGGCACATGCTGAGGTCCTGAACACTTGGACTTGAACTTGAGAGAATTTGGGGTGGTCCAGGCTTCTGTCCTTCCAAGGGGATACCATGTTGAGGGTCAGGTATGTTGAAGCTCAGAACACTCAGTTCTGGCTTCTGAAAGTCCAATTCTTTGTTCTGGTATCCCTGGCAACACTCAAGAAGGCTTTGTCTGATTTTTCTTTTATATTGTTGCTATACTCTGTTGTTTAGTACCTACTTATTCTCAACTTTGAATATCTGGTATTTAGTGTATGGTATGTGTCAGGCAATAATTGTTGAAGATGTGATTTGTCTGTCTCTGGACATTGACCTAATTTCAGTGGTCCCCAAAAGGAAATTAATTTGTGTTTTAGGAAAATAGAAGACGGATTTTTGATAGCCTCTGGATTTTTTTTTTTAATGTCTACAATACTAGATTTATTTGTGAACCATCTTGATTAAACAAAGAATATTTCTACCATGGTATCCCAAGTGGCTTATTGCTTTCTTGCATTATAACCAGTCCTTACATGGGGCTGTTCTTTGTGACAACATCGGCATAATTTCATTAGATATGGTTCACAACTGAATTTGATAACTAAAATCAGTTGCAATTCATTTTTTTGGTATGGTTTTTGGTATTTTATGCTTAATTTAGAATTACTGCTTAGTTTTATTTATTTATTTATTTTGAGGGGAGTGAAACACAGGCTTGGGTCCTAAGTAGCTCTCTGAAAGTGTGTTGTAATGTGTGCATGTCTATCTTAGGCAAATGCCACAGAAGAATTTAGGAGAATTGGAAAGGGCAATATCAAACATCTTTTATATGTGTAAGCAATTTGTGGTTTCCCAAAGCTACTTAATTATCTACTTAATTATCTGAATTATCTGGAAACCTGTTTGGGGAGCATGTGTGAAGGACAATTTATCCTTTACCTTGACTTAGTAATTTTTAAATTAGCACAAACATTATCACTAAATACAGTAGTAGATAATTTTTGGACTATCTTTGCCTCCTCCCCACCTCCCCCCCCCCAAAAAAAATTGTAAAGTTTTTCTTTGTTAGTGATACTTTTCTTAAAGCATGATAGCAGGTCAAAAGTTATGTGATGGTATGATGAAAATAAGCTGGGTGTGTAGTTCATGCCTGTAATCCCAGCCTTGAGGAAGCTGATGCAGGAGGATGGATCTCAAATTCAAGGCCAGCCTGAACAATGTGGTAAACAGATAAGCAAACAAACAAATAAGAAAGAAAATAAATTATTTTTTTGGCAACCATCCTGTTGAAAGTTAATGTATCCTCCCATTGAGTGAGGACCCTGTTTCTCTTATACCGCATCAGTGTGATCTGTGTAGCTGATTGAAGGTTTCTGTATTTGTGAAATAATAAAGGCTAGAAACTTTGAGAAAATTCTTTGTTTCTGGGGACCTTACAGGATTTTACAAAAGCCCTAGCAAGGAGAAACATTTTAAATAAGCCTACCTTCTTTCCTTCTGATGTCCTTGGCAACACTTAGTCTGCTTTTTCTCTTTATTATTATACTCTTACTTATACAATTATTTTTATGATTAGAAGGTAGGGAGGATAAAAGAGATAGAATAATGTGTTTTTTGTATCTGAAGTGGGATCAGTTCATAACACTTGTAGGAAAATTGCACAAGGTGTTCTAAATAGCATTGTCCGCTCTGCCTTTTAGACAGCAGATAGCTTGTAGGAGGTGAGTGGCATAAACACTGCTACACAAACCCTTGGAAATCAGCACATAAAAGCAGGTTATAGTTCTCTGAGCCCAGACAGGGCTAGCTACTTCTATTCAAGAACACAGAGAAAGACAGGCCTGAGCTCTACTGTGCAGTGAGATTCAGTGTTAATTTTAAGGAGTTAATGTTGTTTTATTTAATGAGGTATTACCACCACAGAAACCTTTATCTTAATATATTTATTTAGATACTTTCATTTTCTTGGCAGAAGAATGGCTGCTGGTTTGTGTTTAACTTACTATATGCCTGAAGTAGACACTAAGCATTTATACACTTGCTATTTGGTTACAGCAATGTGTTTTTCCCCCCAATAAAGCTAAGCTTAGAGTGCTATTATTGTTGTTAGACATGATGAAATCATTTTATTCTGGCCTGTAATCAGCCTCCTGAGGGGTAATGGGAAATCCCTTTCAATAGACAGGTTCAGTTTTCAGTTAAAAAGAAATCTATCATATTGTATGCTTGATTATTTGTAGTTGATTAAACCAGTTATTGGTATGTCTCTTTAGCTAACTGATCTTGGCTCTTGGCTTCCTAAAGACACTCTCCCCCTCTCTCCCTCCCTCCCTCCCTCCCTCCCTCCCCCCTCCCCCTTCCTTCCCTCCCTCCCTCCCTCCCCCCCTCCCCCCTCCCTCCCTCCCTCCCTCCCTCCCTCCCTCCCTCCCTCCCTCCCTCCCTTCCTTCCTTCCTTCCTTCCTTCCTTCCTTCCTTCCTTCCTTCCTTCCTTCCTTTCTTTCTTCTTTCCTTCCTTCCTTTTTTTGGTGCTGGTACTAGTGGTTGAACTCGGCCTGGACACTGTCCTTTAGATTTTGCACTCAAGGCTGGTACTTTACCACTTGAGCCATAGCTCCACTTCAGGCCTTTTGCTGGTTAATTGGAGATAAGTCTCATCGACTTTTTAGCCCAGGCTAATTTCAAACTTTGATCCTCAGATGTCAGCTTCCTGAGAAGCTAGGATTACAGATATGCACTGCTGGTACCCAGCTTGTTCAAGTTTCTCATATGTTAAAATCCTTTCATTGAAATACCAGCTCCAGTAACCTTGTAGGCTATGACTTTTGACTTGAACAGTCCTCGTGTTTCTGAAAGCCTTTATGATCATGGAAATGTGCATATTAAATGCAATGGGACAGAACATTGCCAGGAGAACCAGCCCTACAAATGTCACACAGCTCAGAAAGCTTTTTTTTCTTCTAGAAAAATTCTACAATCTATTGAAGCACACATTAAATTTATTTGTCTTGGATGAAGCAGAGAAAACTCTTGATGACAAAACCAAGACTTATCAAACTACTGTTCTCTTAGGAAAGTTAGAAAGTATCATATCAGATCATTTACAAACAGCCTATTTTGGTGAATTTTAACAGTTCCAAAGTGCCTCCTTCCAGCACTTATCTCAGAACTGGTTTTCACTGGTTGAATTACAGAGCCAGGATAGCGGAGAAGTGATTTCTTTTCCACGGGAAGAAGGAAATTGCAGTGAACGGGGGATTTACCTTGTGTGGGCACAGCACATGTGTTAATTCTGCCTCCTCTCCTTCTGCCTTTCTCTTCAGGTGATTGAAGACAGTACTGGAGTGCGCCGGGTGGTAGTTACACCCCAGTCCCCTGAGTGCTACCCTCCAAGTTACCCCTCTGCCATGTCTCCGACCCACCACCTGCCCCCGTACCTGACGCACCACCCCCATTTTATCCAGAACTCTCACGCGGCCTACTACCCACCTGTCACTGTGCCTGGAGACATGCCACCCCAGTTCTTCCCACAGCATCACCTTCCCCCCACGATCTACGGCGAGCAAGGTGAGTACACCCCACATCCAGGCCGGCACCCTGAGCCCTTAAAACTGGGCTCACACTTCAATGCCTGGAAGCGTTTTTGTTCTTCTGTAACAGACTTGAAAGAAAAGGATCTGGCCTGGTGTAAAACTCGGCGGACACCCCTAGTCCCCCTTTCCTGGTTAGTGCTTTTTGAGGGTTGCTACTCTATTCCTTCTTTCTTTTGTCCTAAATATTTTCCCTGGGTTTGATTCCAAGCCCAGAAAAGCCAAGGAGTGATGTAGCTACTTTCCATGTGGGAGGAGTGGCAGTGATGTTCAAGATACTCTTCTATCCTGTTCACGTGCGTGTGTGGAAGAATGGCCTGAGGTAGAGCTGGACCACATTATATCCTTGGCGTGTGTTAAGTCTTCCCCTACAGAGGAAATTGAAGAGTTTTTGTGTCCCATTTCGAATGGTAGAGGATTGTAAAGTCTCAATATCCTTTGGGGTTTGGCAAGATCCTGCTTGGCACAATCCACAGATCCTGTGACTGGCGTGGGGCCCTCGGGAGACAAGCAGATACTTACCTTGAAAAGCGAAGAGCCTTGGAGCGGCCGACATTGTGTCATTTCAAAGTTTTGGCCTTGGTGTTAGTTTAGTCTGAAACTCTGCTCTGTTAAAGTGGATACTACAGGACCAGATAAGCCAGTTCAAAATTAGTTTTTAAACCTCTAGGACTTTGCAGAGTGATTTTCTTCAGAGTCTGTGAATTGAAGCACTTTATGGTTTCAAACATTTAATTGGTTTGGTTCAGATAAATTGTATGAAGGTATATCTGTCACATTGTAGAACTTTTGAACAAGTTATTATCTAACATTCCTTTAGCAGTAGCAATTTTGGTATCAGTTTTTGTCCTCTGTATTCATTTTATACTGTTGTATTTTCTTATTATAAAAAAAAAATCTGAGCTGAGTACTTTTAAGTGAAATATCCTGTGGTAGGATTTTTTTTTTCTTTTTTTAAAGTAATCTGAAATTTAATACAATTCAAAATAATCAGGTGCTTTCATAACAGGATGTGGAGAGATGAGAAAAGAACATGGAATCAATATTACCAACAATATCAATGACTTCTTAAGAGTTGGATCTTTTTCTACCTTGTGATATGACTCCCTTCTCCCCACTCCACCCCCCAAAAATCAAAGCAACAAGCTTATAATAGGGAAATGTTTAGAAACAAAGTGAAATAATAAGTTAAGTACTTTTACCCAATATTTGTGAACTATGAGAGATTCCATCTGGGTCTGAGCTGTACAGACAGGCAGCATGAAGGGCCTGAGCCTCTACTCGCTTCACGCTGAGTATCTGACCTACCTTATGTAGCTTGGGAGAAGGGTTTCAGGTATGTGACATCTATTGTGACTTTAGTCATGGCAAACTGATTTAAATTGCCAATAGGACTAATTATTTTTTAAATCTCCCTCTCCATTTTATACTGTATTTTTATTTAATTTCATTAAAATAAAACCATGGATTAATGTCCAAATAAGAAAAGTATGTACTTTAATTTCAAGTTAAAGACAATAGTTCAGTAAGATCTTTATGTCAAATAACTATATATTTTTCATTCCTGAAATGTGCATAGCTAAAAGCATTTCAACATTTGAGCCCTAAGAGTTTAAAGTTTCAACATGACTTAAATGATGATTGTAGCAGTGCCTGTGTGACTGTTTTAAATCTGAAATGTAATGAATGCATTATGCCATCTAGAGTACTTGCCCTCCATCTTGATACGCTTTATTCACACATAATCTCTCTGAATAGGGTTGTGTTTATTTTTGTGAGCATTGTAGTACGAATTGACTTACCTTATAAAAAAATATTCTTCTTAAAGATCTTCTGTTACTGTGAACAGGAAGAAAATGAGGAGTTGAAGTTTACAATTGAGCAACTGAAATAGAGGTTAAATTCTCTGCAGAACACAGTATGCCCCTGTGAGCCTGCAGGGCCCTGATTTCAGCCTCTGTTTCCCTCTCACAGGAGTGGATTTGGATAGTGATTCATATGATGACTTGGTGTAGATAAGCCCTGTTACCTTGTAAGATACAAAGGCCCAGCCTGGCACCTACACCTGTGACTCACACCTCTGAGCCTAGACACACAGGAGGCAGTGATATGAGGATTGTGGTTCAAAACTAGCCTGATCAGAAAAGTTTAAACGAGTCTTATCTCCAGTTAACCACTACAAAGCCAATAGTAGAGCTGTGGTTTAAGTGGTAGAGTACTAGCCTTGAGCAAAGAAGCTAAGGGACAAGCACCCAGGCCTTGATACAAGGACCCAATATCTGTGTTATAGATTGCATTTTGATTGATGCTAAAATATAATTTCAAAGTGGCTTAAAACTATAGATTTCAATTTTTCCCTCATGAGAGCATAAGATCTGTTCTGTTAAGCAACTTAAATATGTATGTAGCAAGGTGCCACTGGCTCGCGCCTGTAATCCTAGCTACTCAGGAAGCTGAGATCTGAGGATCATGGTTCAAAGCCAACCCTGGACAGGAAAATCTGTGAGATTCTTATCTCCAATTAACCAGCAAAATGCCTGAAGTGGACCTGTGGCTCAAGTGTTAGAATACCAACTTTGAGCCAAAAGGCCAAGCAAGAGCTTGAGGCCATGAGCTTAAACCCCGGTACTGGCCTCTAAAATGAAGTATATAATAAAGCCAATCATTTTGGTCTTCCCCTTTGTTCTTCTACATTTTCCTGCATGATTTATGGGAAATTTCTCAATACCCTGTGTGGCTTTTAATAATTGATTTTCCCTTGATTGGTTAGAAAAGAATAGGGACATATTAAACATATATGGTATATACACATATATACATAGATACATACAAAACATACATATAACATTGTCTTCAAAGTATTTTTGATAGGAATTCTTCCTTTTGAAGGAATTCTTCCTCCTAGAGGTCAGGCCCTATGACCTTCAAAGCACATATTGCTGAAACTGCAGGCTGAGCCTTTGTTCCACTTTGCATTTTAGAAATCATCCCACTGTACGGCATGTCCAGCTACATCACCCGAGAAGACCAGTACAGCAAGCCCCCGCACAAAAAACTGAAAGACCGCCAGATCGACCGCCAGAACCGCCTCAACAGCCCCCCCTCAACCCTCTACAAAAGTGGCTGCACCACCGTGTACAATGGCTACGGGAAGGGCCACAGTGGAGGCGGCGGAGGTGGTGGAGGTGGCGGCAGCAGCGGGGGCCCTGGTATCAAGAAGACTGAGCGGCGAGCCAGAAGCAGCCCAAAGGCCAACGATGCAGACTTGCAAGGTAAAGCCAAGGCCCTTTTCATAAAAGGGAACTTGCAGATGGAGGCGGGAACACCCTAAAGACTACATCAAAGCATCTTGTTTCCTGAGTGCGTGGTTTTTCCGCTGGGGACTATTGAGTGGACCTCTCTAATCTGGTCCTATTAGGCAAGCCTATTGGGGTATCTAATTTTTACATTTTGTGGCAAAAGCATCCCATTTTCATCACATCTAACTTAGTATCAGTAACAAGTGTTCTGTGTGCGTGTGTGTGTGTGTGTGTGTGTGTGTGCGTGTGTGTGTGTGTGTGTGTGTGTGTGTGTGTGTGTGTGCGCGTGCGTGCATGCATGAGCATACCAATACTGGGGCTGGAACTCAGACTTGTGCTCTAAGCATTGCCCATTTTCATCACATCTAACTTAGTAACAAGTGTTCTCTGTGTGTGTGTGTGTGCGCGCGCGCGCGCACGTGCATGCGTGAGCATACCAATATTGGGGCTGGAACTCAGACTTGTGCTCTAAGCATTGCCTTTCACTCAAGGCTGTTGCTCTACCACCACTCCACTTCTGGCTTTTTTCGTCGTTAATTGGAGATGAGAGTCTCACAGTTTTGTCTGCCTGGGCTGGCTTTGAACCTTGATCCTTATATTTCAGCTTTCTGAGTAGCTAGGATTGTAGCCACTGGTGCCCAGCTGAATCCTGAATTTTTAATTGCTGGCTTTTATAGAGCTTGCTTTCTGATTAGACACCTCTTTCTCTTTCTGGAACAAATCGTTGGATAGCTCTGGCTGCTCTGTGGCTTACTCTTGCTGATGGCTTGAGTCCCTAGCTCCTTCAGAGAAAGGTGGAATTGTGGTTTTCTTAGAGCTGAGGGTGTGACATGGGCAGAGAATACTTGGGACTTCTGTAACTGCCATGCTTGGCTTAGAATCAAACTATGTCCTTTCTTAATCATTAGTTTTATTATTCCTAGAATTTCTGTGTCCTTGCTTCTACAATGGGCAGTTTCATTCCTATTTGTAAAATATTAAAAATATCTAGCTCAGCACCTAATGTTTTCCTGTGACAGTAATGCATGTTACTGGAATATTCCTTTTTTTGGTGGGGGGGGGGGGTCCGGTTGTGGGGCCTGAACTCTGGGCCTGGGCTCTGTCCCTCAGCTCTTCAGCTCAAGGCTAGCGCTCTACCACTTGAGCCACAGCACCACTTCCAGCTTTTTTCTTATGTAGTGCTGAGGAATCGAACCCAGGACCTCATGCATGCAAGGCAAGCACTCTACCACTGAGCCACCTTACCAGCCCCTACTGGAATATTCTTATTGTCTTCCTCATACCTGCAATGGCTCCATTCATACCACTGTGTGTCAGCCAATGTATCTGGTCCTCATAGCAGGCATCCCCACCCTCTCATGACCCTCACTTTCCCTCCTGTCACATGCTTTCTCCTGTGAGCAAGGGATGCTAACCCTGTACCCCTGGACCACTGGCCCTGCCCACCTGCATCCTGGTTGCTCTAGAAGGGATTGGGACTAAGAATATACACCAGCCCCTGGATCTATTGTGTGGAATCGTGCCAGCTCTCCCTGGCTTTTCCTGGCCTCTTGGTGCGACCCAGCTCCAAGAGAACTCTGGGGCATGGCCTCCTTGCCTTGTTTATCATGTCTTATCCTTGGGGGTCTGTGCACATGGTCCTCGTAAGCCTCAACAGACCGTCCCCATGCTCAGGCTGATCCCTGAGGAGCCTCCCCGAAGGAACCCCCGTGTTCTCAAATCAGTGATTTTTCCATTCCCTGATCTGTGTAATGGCTATAGCTAAATCAGATCTGGACAGAGCGTTCCTTTGTTGAGGATCCGTGTGGCCCTGATGATGTCTGCAGGGCATTCTGACAGCTGCCATCCACTCGCCCGCCTCACAGCCCCTCCATCCTCATCCTCCACCCCTGTCTGCCCCAGCACTCCAGTGCCTCAGTCTTTCCTTGCTCTAGTTTTTCCAGATCCTCTAGCTGCAAATGCCAGCTTCATCCTTCATGAGCCCACTCAACAGATCCCTTCTCAGGGGAAAATTCTACCAAAATGTCTACCTGTCCTTCTTCTCCCAGCATTTCATTTTAGATCGTGGGCATCAAGTCCACAGATGTTTAAGAAGAGTGGAAAAATACAGTACGTCTGTGTAGACTGTTGTGATAGAAGTAAGCCTTGAGCCTGCTCTGGAGTCAAAACCCAGTCAAAATAATCATAAGGCCTTCCACTGCCAGGACTAGAGGAGTTTCCTTTGCTCCGTGCGCATGGAGAAACAAGCTTCGTTCCTTCTAGTTTGTTTATAGCAGAAACTGAGGCGTGTGATATTGGGTGGTAACTTGTGAGATTTGCTGAGCGACAATCAAAGTGCCTGCATTTTCAGATAGTGTTTTATATTCTCTGAAAGTAAAGGCTTCTGCTACTTAGTTTTAGAAAGAACTTGTATGAATTTAGACTATTTTTTAAAAAAATAAAGCTTAGGGGCTGGGAAGGTGGCTCAGTGGTAGAGCGCTTGCCTTGCATGCATGAGGCCCTGGATTTGATTCTTCAGCACTACATAAGCAAAAAGAAAAAAGCCGGAAGTGGCACTGTGGCTCAAGTAGTAGAGCGCTAGCCTTGAGCTGAAGAGCTGAGGAACAGTGTGCAGGCCCAGAGTTCAGGCCCCACGACCGGACCCCCCCCCCCCCCAAAAAAAAATAAAGCTTGGTTGAGGACCCACTACCCAATCATGTAATGATACCTGTTCCAATCGAATAACAGTATCTATCAGGCATGGTGGCACACTCCTATAATCTCAGCCTTAGGGGGAGAGTGAGGCAGGGATATCATGGGTTCTAGGCTAGCTTGGGGGTATATGGAGAAACCTAGGCTCAAAACAAAATAAACAAAAACAACTGCCCCCCCATGCCGTCTTCCCACTTAATGGTAGTAATGGTGAATATTTGAGTAGGGTGTGTGTGTGTGTGTGTGTGTGTGTGTGTGTGTGTGTGAGTGAGGCAGATGGGCTAGGAGGAGAGGAACGAGAGAAATGCACAGAAGAGTCAGGATTTCATCTCTGGTGTGTGTAGGAGGAAGAAGATATGGTTTGTGCGCTCGCTGATGGTTACTTTTGCTGCATTCCTAGTCTTCCTCCAAGAGTGAGAGTGCCTTTATAAACTCATTTGTAAATCATTTCTAAAACATACTGGCATGAGTGGGGTGCCACATCTGTAACCCCAGCTACCTATCTGAGAAACAAAATTAGAAACCAACCAGGGCAGGAAAGTCAGTGAGACTTTTATCTCCCATCTACCACCAAAAAGCCAAAAGTGGAGCTATGATACAAGTGGTGTAGGATGCCAACTTTGAGCAAAAAACTAATGGACAGTGCACAGGCTTTGAGTTCAAGCCCCAGTGTACATGTGTGTGTGTGTGTGTTTGTGTGTGTGTGTGTGTTGGAATGGAGAATGACTGCGTGTAATATAGAACAAATAATTTCACTAGGCTTCAGGCTCCCTTTGGAAAATTGAATGGATGAGTTCAGTGATTTTCAAAATCTCACCCATGATGACATTCTCTCTCTCTTTCACTTTTTTTTCACTCTTCTGTAGCTCTCAAGTTCAATAGACTATTTCATCATTAGCCAGTTATAAACACATGCATCCTGGAACTCTTATGGTTTCAAGGGGACCATGGGTCTTTGTCACCATCTACAGCCATTGATAAAGGACCCAGACCTAGTGTAGGCCCTGGCTGCTGAGAATCTCAGGGCAGCAAATCTGAGAGCTGACAGTATTTACCCTTCCAGCCTTTCCCAGAACCACAGCCCATGGAAGCTGTTTCCCAGGTGCTTTAGGGAGTGACTTGCCCGCTAGCCCTTGAGAAATGCTGGCTCTCTGAAAGCCAGGCAATTCCCAGCTGTGGTGGGGAGGGGGAGGAGGGTGTTTAGTTAAGACACATGATTTCAGATGAAGCCTGTTCCTTGTCCTTAACTAACTGTGTGTGATACATTCCCATGATAACTCCTAGGGTGGAGAATCCCTTCTGTGTTACAAAGATGCAGCAGCTTATGCACAGTCTTCTAGAACTCACCAAGTCACATTGAGGAGGGGGTGGAACTGGAGCAAATGGTGAGAATTCCAAATATAGAAGAAAGAGAACATAGAGCTGGCTTGGGCATTTGACCTTTGGGATTGTGAACAATCCAAAGACTGGAGGAAATTCCACCACATAGAGTCATACTTTGTGACTGTAACACTGAAAGACTTGAAGAAGACATTATTCCTGCACATTCCCCTTTCAGAGGTGACCCATGCCCTCAGGAGCCTTTATATCAACTGTTTGTATTCCAGTGATTTTCCAGGTGGTCCTCCCTGATTCTTCCTCTGTCCTTGCATTTTCTAACCAATACTAAGAAGTCTGAACCAGAGCAAAGTGACATTTACCCCAGAACTGGTCGAAAAGTTTCTTCATAGTAATACTTATTCATGATAAAAAGCATCCTTGCCCTAAGTTGGGGATGGCATTTTCCCCTCTAAAGGTCTGAGGTTAGGACCACTGTGGCCCCAAAGTCTGTCCTCTTGTTGAATGCCATGTCGTGGGATCTGGGATGGATGGCCGAAGCCACCTGCACAACCCACAGTGGCTTTCTTTGTTTGCAGTGACGTGCGTGATCGCAATAAGGCCTGGAATGTGTTTTTACTGGAATGTCTTGGTCTTGGCTCCCTGTGAGAGATAATGCTGGCATTTTCCCGTTTAAAGTTGGATATGCAGTGGAGATTTGTGCTTCACCAGCAGCTGAGTTCTTCTTTCTCTTGAAAGCTTTCTCTCATTTGAGCACACACCCTCCCAGACAGGGTCTTCGGAGGATGGGAGACAGTGTGAGTCACAGATTATAGACCAGGCCCCCGAATAACTTCATTAGAAACTCATTTTGACATAGAGTTTCAATATTGCTTCATCTGAACGCACTCCGTTGATGATAAATCCTGTGTGTTTTCTCCTGTCCGATGCTACCTCTGAATCCT